TTGGGGGGGGGGGGCGGACGAAGTACAAAAAAAATATTCGCGCAAGGGAAAATTAAATGAAAAAAAAATTCATGCACGCCAATTAACCCTAACAAATATTCATGCTACGCCCTAAAAAAATTCATACAAGGAATTTGATAACGAAAAAATATTCCTGTCGCTCAAAAATTCCCCACTCCCCGCATAACGTTTCTAATGGTCCGTCCCTAAATGCGCTAACACTTTCCTTCATTTTAGTTTTTGAACACGTGATAAGCCACGTGACCAACATTACACGTACGGCAGAATAAGACCGTGAGAGTTCATTCACGGAAAATTTCGTCTTGATTAAGGCTATTGCAGAGAATTATTCCGGACACTCTTTTAAGCCAGGCATTCTTTTTTCGGGTTTTGCCTTTCAAAGTGTCAAAGCTGGGGTCTCTCTTTCCGCCGCGCAGGGATCAGGAGTAAAGCGAACGCTTACTTTGTGTAAAACAATAGAGTCAATAGGAACGTTTTTAACTTCTGCGCCAAACGGGTAGTGGATGCATGCCCCAGAGGGTTACACCTTGAGCTACTTTACAATTTTGTCACCAGAGCCTTCGATTCTTATGGCTGCGCAATAGAGTAGAGCTCTGAGGTAGAGAATGGCTACTTTGGTAAAATGACAGGAAAACATGGCGATACTGTGAAAGATCGTGACACAAAAGGTGCTCGCTTTAGAGACGTGGTGATTAACAGACGGAAGGTTCAAGAGCAAACTTAGTTGGAGGGGGGAAAGTTGATGCAAATGAGACAGCGATATCTTTTTCCAATTCTCAAATTTACCCGTCAGCCTATTTTTAGGGCAAGGTATAGGGGGTAGGCGGAATTGCGGGAAAGAGTTTAAGCGTTCACTGGTTTGCCTTGCGCCTCATACTGTTCAGTTTGTTTAGTTAACACGTATTTCTTGCTATCTCCTCATGCCACTGATTGTATAGAGGGAAACTCAATGTTATTGCTTTTCTTCGCTTTGAAAATTCTTGGTCACGATTGAATCGTATATACTGAGCTGTACTTTAAGTTGTTACTGCCCGTTGTCGATTCTTCTCCCGGGGCGTAACTTGGGTTAATTTTTCCTGGATATGTGCCGCTGGCCTCTCAGAGATCCTATCCCATTTTAGTAAAATCCACCTAGTGGTCTATTATTAATGCTGCGTTCTGATTGGTTGAGCTATATGTTATAGCCCACCAGTAGCGAAAAGCGCCTGCTTTTTGGCGGCAAAAAAGGATTAAAGTCTAGCTTTAAGGTGACTCGACCCAGTTTTTTTTGGGGGGGTACCATCCTACTTTGAAGCTCTCTGGTATCCCAACCTTTACTTTTATCGTAAGTCTAACACATAGAATGGATAACATATAGATCAATCTACAATATAACATAAAATTTTTGGCGATCGGAGTAAATGTCACGTGGTTATAATGCCACGCCCCTTTGAGGTCTGAGTCGAAAATCTGCTGTTGCCGGCATTTTTTCGTGAAAATCTCTCGGCTACACATAGTGCGCATTAGTGCCTTGCGCTGAACAGAGTTTCACCAAAATCGCAAAGACCCAATTCGAGAAATTCAGCGGTTTCCAAATTTAGGTCATAATTTATGCGAAAATGATAAGCAAACTTTACACGGATTATATCTAATAAACTATGAGATTCATCTCTTTATTTTGGGCATCGTTATAACAGATGGGTCCTTGCAAGTCAGCAAAACGCTTTAGGGCCTTGTAAATGCGCGCGATTTCGAGCAAAGCAAACATATAGAAATTATAGTTTTCGCTATTTGTTGACGTTTGTCAGCGTTTAAGAGTCCTTCTCACGAAAAAAGCATTTTCTTAAAAATTCGTAGTTTTTTTTCCTTCAAATTTTTTCAGGGCCACAATTGATTAACTAACTACCCGGACTCTGAATTTCATGGTCATTGAAAAACTGTGACATTATCTTCTATAAGCCCAAACTTGAGTAAACATTGAAGATTTTTAGCGTTTTGGCTGAGTTTGTGCTTTGGGAGTTGTCTATTGTTTCTAGTCTGTCATTATACAGCATTCTTGTTCAGCACGCGTGCAATGACCGCGCTTGGCTGACTTCCGAATGCTCACCGAGATATAATAATTTTGGTACAGTGAGACAGGCCATCGCGTGATACATAGAGGTTTAAGTCACAATTTTTAATCAATTCTCGTGCTTCTTGTGCCTTTGCAAAAAAATCAAGAAGTGCTACACACTAAATCTACTTACTATTAAAAAAATATCATTTTTTCATAGGTTTAATGCAAGCCAATAATTAAACCAACTCGTGACGGGAATATCTCGGTGAGCATTCGGAAGTCAGCCAAGCGTGGTCATTGCACGCGTGCTGAACAAGAATGCTGTATAATGACAGACTAGAAACAATAGACAACTCCCAAAGCACAAACTCAGCCAAAACGCTAAAAATCTTCAATGTTTACTCAAGTTTGGGCTTATAGAAGATAATGTCACAGTTTTTCAATGACCATGAAATTCAGAGTCCGGGTAGTTAGTTAATCAATTGTGGCCCTGAAAAAATTTGAAGGAAAAAAAACTACGAATTTTTAAGAAAATGCTTTTTTCGTGAGAAGGACTCTTAAACGCTGACAAACGTCAACAAATAGCGAAAACTATAATTTCTATATGTTTGCTTTGCTCGAAATCGCGCGCATTTACAAGGCCCTAAAGCGTTTTGCTGACTTGCAAGGACCCATCTGTTATAACGATGCCCAAAATAAAGAGATGAATCTCATAGTTTATTAGATATAATCCGTGTAAAGTTTGCTTATCATTTTCGCATAAATTATGACCTAAATTTGGAAACCGCTGAATTTCTCGAATTGGGTCTTTGCGATTTTGGTGAAACTCTGTTCAGCGCAAGGCACTAATGCGCACTATGTGTAGCCGAGAGATTTTCACGAAAAAATGCTGGCAACAGCAGATTTTCGACTCAGACCTCAAAGGGGCGTGGCATTATAACCACGTGACATTTACTCCGATCGCCAAAAATTTTATGTTATATTGTAGATTGATCTACATGTTATCCATTCTATGTGTTAGACTTACGATAAAAGTAAAGGTTGGGATACCAGAGAGCTTCAAAGTAGGATGGTACCCCCCAAAAAAACTGGGTCGAGTCACCTTAAGTAGCTAGCCCATTCGGGCTCGAGGAATAATTGTTAAATAGTCTATTCTGTGGCCGAATAGAGACTCCATCTTAGTCACTTTTGGGAAAATGTAATTTCCGCGATCCCAACTTAGTAACTTTCTGTTTATGCATCCACCTTATAAAGCCTTTTAACTAGGTCATCCTGAAAGGAATTGACACATGTTTACTTAATGAAGCAAAAATCTTCCCATTTTTAAATCCGTACCTACTTGAATTTTCTAATTCCCCAAATCCCGAAAACGTGCGATCCCATTCTGAGTGACTCTAACGAAAATGCAACCCTATTAAAATGCGTCCACATTAACCTACTACTAAAAAGTAGCCCCGGGGATTGTTCCTGTATAATAAAAAGCTCTCGACCGAAAAGGACAGTATATGAAAAGGGTCATGACAGCTCAGATTAAAATTTTCATACGAAACTACATAAATTAACATTTTGATAGTCTCGCCGTTTTTTCGTGTTAAGAAAATAAAGGAAACATCTTTCTCATCATCGTGAAACTCGCCAATTCCAACTGAAAACGAAAGGAGCACTGAAAGAAGAGTGAGCTCAAAATGTTGCGCTTGTTTATTCCGTTGTTTCTTTTCCTGATCTTGCGTTCCTTCGCAAGCCAGAAAAACTCTGTAAGCAACGTAAGTTTGGCATTTTTTTAGTTCGGTCTTTGTATGAATTTATTTTGTCTAATGTAAAAAGTAAGACACCATGACTGCTACTTTAACCAATAGAATTCACTATTAATACCTCGCGGACTTCCTCTTGTTTAGGTATCAAATCAAAACCATTGCTGCAACTGTCGCGACGGTAAGCTAAAGACTTTGAATGAATTCTGATTCCCTCTCTGTTCATGTTGTTTCTAATATATTTTCTCATTTTTTGCCTAGGAAGGGATGGACGAGATGGTCAGAACGGTAATATAAGACATCGTACATATCAGTATAACTGCCATGTTCACTAACGGACACAATGTTAGCTGATAATTCAAGGCCCAGATTACGAATTGTATAGCAGTAAAATACTTTCTGACCCGGTGAGCCTTCCAATTTAGTACCTATACGTATATATCTGTTCACACCTTCTGCCCATAAATGGAATAGTAGATTGCTAGCAGGAAATATTGCCTTAGGAACTTAAATTAGCCATATAGTTTCATACAACTACCGTGTGAATTCATCAAAGAAAATATTAGAAGTTCTAACTGTCGAAAGTCGAAAAGCAAACCTCGTTAAATATAAGATAACGTAGTCAGAATTTAGATGGTGTAGAAAAATAAATGAAGTATAAAGTAAGATATCAAGATCACTGACGTGGCATTGTCTTCTCATCACCATTAAATAATTTTATTCTTTTTACACTCAAGGAAAGGATGGTCGTGATGGAAGAGACGGGATCAATGCGGGAAACGGGATGAAGGTTGCTCTAGATATTAAACAGGACAAAAGCTTTTTCTGCCATTAACAAAATCGATGATAAATTATTTCTTGGATCAAAGATTAATAAGGCAGAACACCGGACAAATGGCTAAGATTATTCAAGTTCGCTGCAATCCGAGATGTCAGCTGCCTAAGAAATGCTCTCTAAAAACCCCGATAGTCTATTTTCTGTAGTAAAAGGGAAGGACACAGTACAACAGTTAGTTTGATCAAATAATTAGTTACTTAAGATAAAAAATTTCGGTTAAAATCTGACGAAATCTCAGCGGTAAAGGCAGTCTTAACTAAAAGGACTACAGAAAAAGAGATCTGAGTCTTCAAGTTTCCTCAACCTCTAGAATAGTCTTTTGATTGTTTTTCAGGGTCAAAAAGGAGAACGTGGTTCACCAGGAAAGAACGCAGGAGGTGTAATTAAGTTTAGCGATACCGCTGAGAAATGTACCGCAAGCATCGCTGGCACTGTTAGCTACAGTACTTCCCAGAAATCGTTGCAACTCTGTGATGGAAGTTATTGGCTGCCAGTGTTGGCTGTTAGAAAAGGTTACAAGGCAGATAGACCAGGCCGCCATTGTTTGGATGTCTTAAATTCTGGTACGCTTAAACTTTGAAAAACAATTAAGGCGTAAGGCATTTAAAAGTGAACAATTGACACTGATAAGCACCACTTGTACTAAAAAGCATTATAGACAATAGAATCAAACTCGTTCCCAGTTTCTGTGCATTGCTATCTAAGCAACAAAGAACTGCGGACAGGGTTGGTTGTTGTAGAGAATGCTCGGAGGTACAGAGTAAGTAGCGGCAGGGACTGGGAGACTGGGAGGAAAACTGTCATTTAAAGACGCACTTTGAAATGAACCTATTAAAGATTATCTTCTTAATCAAAATAAACAATCATTTCAAATAATCTTACAATTACATATTATTTATGATCAGGCCAAAGTCATGGCAGTGGGCTTTACTGGATTGATCCAAACGGTGGCTCGACAAAAGACTCGTTCCAAGCCTTTTGCGAAATGGAAACTGAGCGTGGAGGTTGGACCCTGGTTGCCACAAAGGTATCCCCAGGCTTCGACTGCATCAAATCTGCTTTCTCAACAGTGGCCGCTGCAACTAAGAACAGAGATGCCGGGAGTCACATACATCCAAGCATGGGGAACTGGAAAGAGGTTATGTTCCGCTTTGCTGACGTTCATACCATCCGACTTATTTACAACAGAAAAGCCGGCGCACCAAACAATTACAAGGAGGAATTCGACAAGTTCTTGATGGGGAAGTCCATGGAGTTGGATAAAAACGTCAATGGATTTTACAAGTACAGTCCAGCAGATAACATAAGAAATCCGAGCGTGGGGTTTGCCACCATATCCTCTTTGAACTTCTATTCAAGACATGGGATCTCAGAAGATCACAGTGGCACGGATAAGTGGCTTGACATGTGGAGTGGTGCTGATGGCTCAAACAACTACATCTACAGCGATAACAGCAGGGCGCGGGGCACCAAATGTATCGCGGGCTACTGCTATCTGAACAAGCCAATCTGGGTGATGGTGCGCTAGTAAAACCATCAAGTTAATACACGAGCAGCTAACTACGCGAGAAAGGATTAGATACTTATGTGTTAACAGCTGATAATAAAATAGGTTTTAAAACAGACTGCTGCAGTATTAAACGTTCCAACAATGTTGTCAAGATTAAAACGACCAGATATTAGTCCAGTTAAAAGGAACTGATTCTCGCATGTTGTACTGACTGCTCATAAAATAAAACTAAAAAGCATTGGCGATTTGGGTGTGTTGTTTATTGGTTGTTTGTTTATTTTTTCTCAGAACAACCCTTTTGTTGGTTGGAAAGGGGGAAATTAAGCAAGGGCTAGATTCAGTTCCACTCTAGGCCTAGTGCATGAAAGTTGGAAAAGCTTATACTGGCTCTTTTTCAAGATCACAAAATTTATGTTAGCCGTCTACAGCTATAAAAGACGCGCTTCCTTGTGAATCTCTTTATATTCCTTTAACCTAACAACAGACGAATCGTTAAACAAAAATATATGAACAATCACCAAAGAGACCAAATTTCTAATAAGAGAGATTACGTTCGTCAATGTCTTTACTGCGAGAAAATCGAGGTAATATCAAGTGGCATGTTTGTGATCTGTCGTTATCGCGGGAATATTATTGGTAGCACTAAACACATCTTGACACGAACTGATTATAAACCAAAAACTTTATCTGATCTTCTAGTTAGCTTGGCTCCATGTGAACAGAACTTTTGTAGTTTTATTGGTCTGATCTCCCTGATCATTTTCTTTTGTTTTCCAACACTTGTTTTATAGAGATGTCCCAGATTTTCCCGATTATTAAGTTAACAATAAGAGTGAGAACTCGGATATAGAATAGCATTCGTTTGTTACTACAAATAAACCCGCAAGTTGCTAATTAGGTAGAATTATATGGATTAAATAACCTTATAGTGTCAGTGGATGATTAAGGTGATGGTTTCTTAGCCTCCTCGGGTAAATCATGATAATTAATGACATCTTTGCACTGTGATGGCTGATTGTTCACATGACTTTGGTGCCAATCAGACCAGATCTGGCATGTATTAGATGCCAGCTACCGCTGAGCAGGGTGAATAGATGTGGCGCAGTAATCATTTTCACGATGTCCATATTATCATTATCGCGACGTAAACTTGCAAAATAATGCCTAGGCTCCCTCACAGATTCTTCGTTCAAGCTTAGGCCAGGAATTATTCTTTTTTCTTTGACATCTCATTGACCATTTCCACCAGGCCCCAGAGCCTGTGCATCTTGCCACTCGCAAATGATAAAGCCTTGTAAGTTCTTCACTATTCATCCCCAACATTGAAAGTTTTTTAACTACGATTATCCTCTATCAGAAACGATAATTCATTTATCTACACAAAGTAAATTCATACAATTTTCCTTAATTTTAGATTTTGATCACGTGTTTAGTCACGTGACAGATTTAACACACACGGCAGAATAAGAACCTGAGATATTTAATCACGAAAAAGTTCGAGATATTTTAGGCTACCCAGCAAAAGTCATTGCCGATCAATCATGTTTCTCGGAACACACTTTGGAGCCTAATTTCTTCTTCTCTATTTTTCCAGTTTTAGTTTTTTTTCTTCCNACAAAGTAAATTCATACAATTTTCCTTAATTTTAGATTTTGATCACGTGTTTAGTCACGTGACAGATTTAACACACACGGCAGAATAAGAACCTGAGATATTTAATCACGAAAAAGTTCGAGATATTTTAGGCTACCCAGCAAAAGTCATTGCCGATCAATCATGTTTCTCGGAACACACTTTGGAGCCTAATTTCTTCTTCTCTATTTTTCCAGTTTTAGTTTTTTTTCTTCCAAAATGTCAAAGCTAAAGTGTCCAGCTTTTGCCTCCGTCATCCTCCCCGCTGCGGTGGAATCATGCACAAAGCGATCGCTTATTTTATGTGAAACAATAACAATCTTTTTATCTTTCAGTTACTCAGGCTTCAGCGTGAATTTTTTAAGGCAAAGTAAAGAAGATTGCGAGAAGAAGGCTGAGCGCCTTATACTATTTAGTTTGTTAAGTAAACACTATTTCTGACTCTCTCCTCACGTCGCTGATTGCATCTAATGACACTGCAGTGTTCTTTTTTTACTTGTTACTGGAAAAGTCTGTGTTAAAATTTTATTGCAAGGTACTGTACTTCTAATAAAGGGTTTGTTACGCTCAATGCTGACTATTCCACTTTTATAAAAAGCTCTTGGTGGACAAAGACAGTCAGTATACATGACAGGGTCATGACAGCTCAACCAATGTTTGCATCAAAATTATCATACGTAATACAAATATTAAAATTTCGATAGTGTGTCGCCGTTTTTTCATGTTAAGAAAATAAAGGAAACATCTTTCCCATCATTGTGAAACTCGCCCTTTCCAACTGAAAACGAAAGGAGCACTTAAAGAGGAGTGGGCTCAAAATGTTACGCTTGTTTATTCCGTTGTTTCTTGTTCTGATCTTGCGTTCCTTCGCAAGCCAGAAAAACTCTGTAAGCAATGTTTGGCACTTTTTTTAGTTCGGTCCTTGAAAATAATTAATTTTGTCTAATATAAAAAGCAAGATCAAATGAATATACACTATGACTGTGCTACTTTAACCAATAAAATACAATACTAATGCCTTGCGGATTTCCTCTTGATTAGGTATCAAATCAAAACCATTGCTGCAACTGTCGCGACGGTAAGCTAAAGACTCTTAATGAATCCTGATTCCTATTTATAGATGTTGTTCTAACATAATTTCCCATTTTTCCCCTAGGAAGGGACGGACGAGATGGTCAGAACGGTAAGATAAGGCATGGCACATATCCATATAACCATGTTTTCACTAACTGACACAATGCACAGCAGTTCTGAATTCTATTAAGAAGTAAAATACTTTCTGACCCGGTCAGCCTTCCAATTTAGTACCTATACGTATATATATATCTGTTCACAACGTCTGCTCACAAAAGGAACAGTAGATTGCTAGCAGGAAATACTGCCATAGGAACTTAAATTAGCCATATAGTTACGTTCCATATTACAACTGGGCGAATTCATCTAAAAACAATATGAGAAGTTCTGACTGCTGAAAATGGAAAGTGAACCTTGTTAAAAGTAAGATAACGTAGTCAGAGTTGGGACTCTTTAATTTAGATGGTGTAGAAAAATAAATGAAGTGTTAATTAAGAGATCAAGATCACTGACGTGGCATTCAAAATTGTTGTCTTCCGCTTTCTTTTCCGTGAGTTCTTCTCGTTCTCTTTTGTACTCATTACCTTTAAATAATTTTATTTTTTCACACCCAAGGAAAGGATGGTCGTGATGGAAGAGACGGGATCAACGGGAACGGAATGAAGGTAAAAATATTAAAAAGGAATAAAGCTTTTTCCTCTTTGCCGCAGGGATCAGGTGTAAAGCGAACGCTTACTTTGTGCAAAACAATAGAGTCAATAGAAACGTTTTTAAACTCTTGCGCCAAACTAGTCGTGAGTGCATGTGCTAGAGCGTTACACTTTGAAATACTCTGCAATTTCGTCACCAGAACCTTCGGATCATGAGTAGTGGTCGAGAATGGCTACTTTGGCAAACTGACAGGAAAACATGGCGATGAAAGATCGTGACACAGAAGGTGCTCGCTTTAGACACGTGCTGATTAACAGACGGAAGGTTCAAGAGCAAACTTAGGCGGGGGGTGGGGGAGGGGGGGAACGTTGATGCAAGTAAGACAGGGATATCGTTTTCCAATTCTCAAATTTACCCATCAGTGCATTTTCAGGGCAGGGTGTGGGGGGTAGGGTGAATTGCGGGACAGATCAGAGTTGTAGCGTTCACTGCTTGGCTTTGCGCCTCATACTAAAATTTAGTTTGTACTTCTGGCTGTCTCCTCATGCCACTGATTATATGGAGGGAAACTCAATGTTATTGCTTTTCTTCGCTTTCAAAATTCTTTGTAACGATTGAATCATATATACTGAACTGTACTTTAAGAATTTGTTCGTTGTTACTGCCCGTTGTGGATTTTTTCTGTATTAATACAGCTCTCGGTTGACAAGGACACAATCTCGACCCTAGAGCTCTTCTCCGCATGAAGGCTGGAATCAGAAGCGTAAGCACTGGGGTCGTGATTGGAAAAGGACAGCAAATGACAAGAATGATGACAGCTCAGATTAAAATTTCATACGTAACTGCATAAATTAAAATTTTGATGGTCTCGCAGTTTTTTCATGTTAAGAAAATAAAGGAAACATCTTTCCCATCATTGGGAAACTCGCCAGTTCCAACTGAAAACGAAAGGAGCATTAAAAGAAGAGTGAGCTCAAAATGTTGCGCTTGTTTATTCCCTTGTTTCTTGTTCTCATCTTGCGTTCCTTCGCAAGCCAGAAAAACTCTGTAAGCAACGTAAGTTTGGCAATTTTTTTAGTTCGGTCCTTGAAAGAATTAATTTTGTCTGATATAAAGAATATACACCATGACTGTGCTACTTTAACTAATAAAATTCAATACTAATACCTCTCGGATTTTCTCTTGTTTAGGTATCAAATCAAAACCATTGCTGCAACTGTCGCGACGGTAAGCTAAAGACTTTGAATGAATGCTGATTCCTATCTGTTCATGTTGTTTCTAACATAATTTCTCATTTTTTCCCCTAGGAAGGGATGGAAGAGATGGTCAGAACGGTAAGATAAGACATCGCACATATCAATATAACCGGGCATGTTTTCACTAATTGACACAATGTTGACGATTCAAGTCCGTCCCATTCTATTAAGCAGTAAGATACTTTCTGACCCGGTCAACCTTCCAATTTAGTACCCATACGTATATATCTGTTCACACCTTTTGCTCATAAATGGAATAGTAGATTGCTGGCAGGAAATACTGCCATGGGAACTTAAATCAGTCTCGTTTCATATTACAACTGGGCGAACTAATCTGAGAAAATATAAGAAGTTCCGACTGTTGAAAATGGAAAAGTGAATCTGGTTAAAAATAACATAACCTAGTCAGAGCTGGGACTTTTTAATTTAGATGGTGTAGAAAAATAAATGAAGTATTAAGCAAGAGATCAATGTCACTGACGTGGCATGATTAAAATTGTTGTCTTCTGCTTTCTTTTCCGTGAGTTCTTCTCGTTCTCTTTTCTAATCATTACCATTAAATGATTTTATTTTTTCACACCCAAGGAAAGGATGGTCGTGATGGAAGAGACGGGATCAATGCAGGAAACGGAATGAAGGTAAAAATATTAAAAAGGAATAAAGTTTTTTCTGCCATTATCAAATCGGTGATAAATTATTTCTTGGAACAAAGATGACAAAGCCAGACGAGAACTTTAAGAACACCGGACAAAAGGATAAGATTACTCAAGTTCCCTGCAATCCGAGATTTCAGCTGCCTCTAAAAACCCGCTTGATTAACTCCAGAGTCTATTTTCTGTAGTAAAAGCGAACTGACACAGTACTACCTTATTCTGTTCTAATAAGTAGTTACATAAGATAAAAAATTCCGTTTGAAATCTGACGAAATCTCAGCGGTAAAGACCAGTCTTAAGTAAAAGAATTACAAAGAAGGAGATCTGAGTCTTCAAGTTTTCCCAACCCTAGATTGGTTTTAAGAATAGTTAAGGACTTGTTTGTTTTTGAGGGTCAAAAAGGAGAACGTGGTTCACCAGGAAACATCGCAGGAGGTGTAATTAAGTTTAGCGATGCCGCTGAGAAATGTACCGCAAGCATCGCCGGCACTGTAAGCTACAATAGTTCCCAGAAATCCTTGCAACACTGTGATGGAAGTGTTTGGCTTCCAGTGCTGACTGTTGGTAAAGGTTACACGGCAGATAGACCCGGCCGCCATTGCTTGGATATTTTAAATTCTGGTAAGCTGAGACTGTGATAAATAAAAAGAATCCATAAGAGACTGAAGAGATAGTTGTAGATATTGCTGAAAAAAAGCTGGCCTGCAATGCAGGCCTATATATTTGGGACGAGTGAAAGCTGATTTATAAAGTTTGCAATGCCGCAGTCGCCATCTTTCTTAAATATGCCTGCTAAAGTTCATCCTATCAATCATAATATATAAACAATCATGTAAAATAATATTCATTTTTCAGTATATATTTATTATCAGGCCAAAGTCATGGCAGTGGGCTTTACTGGATTGATCCAAACGGTGGCTCGACAGTTGACTCATTCCAAGCCTTTTGCGACATGGAAACTGAGCGTGGAGGTTGGACCCTAGTTGCCACAAAGGTCTCCCCAGGCTTCATCTTCATCAAAACTGTTTTCTCATCAGTGGCCGCTGCAACTAAGAAAGCAGATGCTGCGAGTCACATACACCCAAGCATGGGGAACTGGAAAGAGGTTATGTTCCGCTTTGCTGACGTTGATACCATTCGACTTATTTACAACAGAAAAGCGGGCGCACCAAACAAAGACAAGGAGGAATTCGACAAGTTCTTGATGGGGAAGTCCATGCAGTTGACAAAGAACGTGAATGGATTTTATAAGTACAGTCCAGCAGATAAGAAAAGAAATCCCAGCGTGGGTTTTGCCACCATATCCTCTTTCTACTTCCGGTCAAACGCTGGGATCTCAGAAAATCACAGTGGCACGGATAAGTGGCTTGACATTTGGAATACTGGTGATGGCTCAAACAATTACATCTACAGCGATGACAGCAGGGCGCGGGGCACCAAATGTATCGCGGGCTACTGTTATCTGAACAAGCCAATCTGGGTGATGGTGCGCTAGTAAAACCAACCAAGCCAGTACACGAGCTACTAATTACACGAGAAAGAACTAGATACTTAGGTGTTAACAGGCGATAATAAAGTAGGTTTTAAAACAGACTGCTGGCGATATCAAAGTTCTAACAATAGTGTCAACATTAAAACGACCTGATATTAATCCAGTTAAAAAGAATTCTCGCATCTTGTACTGACTGCTCATAAAATAAAACTAAAAAGCATTGGCGATTTGGGTGTGTTGTTTATTAGTCGTTTGTTTGTTTGTTTGCTTTTTTTTCAGAACAACCCTTTTGTTGCTTGGGTAGGGGGAAATTGAGCAAGAGTTAGAGTCAGTTCCACGCTAAGCCTGGTGCATGTGTTATGAGCAAAGTTTTTCGGAAAAACCGACTCAGAAAAAATTAAAGAACTACGAATAACGATTGACTGCGTCAATTAATGACAACTGCCTTGCCTTTTTACAAACTACTTTTTTCGATTTTTTTAAATAATTCAACGCACGGACAGGACGTATTTTTTCTATTAGTCAAGAAGAAAAAGGACTTTTGATATTATCAAGTATAATATCGAATTTTATCACCATGTGGTATATACTCTTGAGTTGTAAGGATTGGATCAGAAAGTTGGAAAAGCTTGCACTGGCTCTTTTTCAAGATCACAAAATTTATGTTAGCCGTCTACAGCTATAAAAGACGCGCTTCCTTGTGAATCTCTTTATATTCCTTTAACCTAACAACAGACGAATCATTAAAGACAAAAGTATATGAACAATCACCGAAGAGGCCAAATTTCCAGTAAGAGAGACTACGTTCTTCAATGCCTTTGTAAAGCCGAGGTAATATTACGTAATCTGTCGTTAAGGCGGGAATATCGTAGCACCAAACACATCTTGACACGAACTGATTATAAACCAAAACGTTATCTGATCTTCTAGTTAGGTTGGATCCATGTAACAGAACTTTTGGAGTTTTATTGGTGATCTGATCTCCCTGATCATTTTCTTTTGCTTTCCAACACTTGTTTTATAGAGATGTCCCAGATTTTCCCGATTATTAAGTTAATAATAAGAGTGAAAACTCGGATAGAGAATAGTATTCGTTTGTTACTCTAAATAAACCCTCAAGTTGCTAATTGGGTAGAATTATATGAATTAAATAACCTTTTAGAGTCAGTGGATGACTAAGACGATTTTTTAAATCATGATAATTGATGACATCTTTGCACTGCGATGGCTGATTGTTCACATGACTTTGGTACCAATCAGACAAGATGTGACATGTATCAGATGCCAGCTTCTGCTGAGCAGGGTGAATAGATGTGGCGCAGAAATGTGTTTCACGATGTTCATATTATTATTATTATTATCGCGACGTAAACTTGCAAAATAATGATAAGACTCTCTCACAGAGTCCTTATTCAAGCTTAGGCCAGAATTTATCTTTTTTCTTTGACAGCACATTGACCATTTCCACCAGGCCCCAGAGCCCATGCATCTTGCCACTCGAAAATGATAAGGCCTTGTATCAAGTTCTTCCACTATTCATCCCAAACGTTGAAAGTTTGTTAAGTACGATTATTCTAATAAATAGGTAATTATTATTATCCTAATAAACCGTGTCTAAAAACTCTTTATTTTTGTTTAGTTTATCCTTATCTTCATTACTGTATTATTGTCTGGGGATCTACGTACAAAACGAATCTTCGCCGTCTTGTCTCTTTGCAAAAGCGAGTTATCAGAATTATTTCTAAATCAACTTTCGATTCTCATTCAGACCCTATTTTCAAAGAATTAGAGCTACTAAAACTTTCCGATATTAGACAGCTAGAATTAGGTAAACTTATGTTTTCTCTTAACCATTCTCTTTTGCCTTCAAAGTTCAACAATTATTTTTCTTTAAACAAACAAGTCCATAGCTATGCCACTAGACACGCGAACGATTTTCACCTTCCNCCTGTGCATCTTGCCACTCGCAAATGATAAAGCCTTGTAAGTTCTTCACTATTCATCCCCAACATTGAAAGTTTTTTAACTACGATTATCCTCTATCAGAAACGATAATTCATTTATCTACACAAAGTAAATTCATACAATTTTCCTTAATTTTAGATTTTGATCACGTGTTTAGTCACGTGACAGATTTAACACACACGGCAGAATAAGAACCTGAGATATTTAATCACGAAAAAGTTCGAGATATTTTAGGCTACCCAGCAAAAGTCATTGCCGATCAATCATGTTTCTCGGAACACACTTTGGAGCCTAATTTCTTCTTCTCTATTTTTCCAGTTTTAGTTTTTTTTCTTCCAAAATGTCAAAGCTAAAGTGTCCAGCTTTTGCCTCCGTCATCCTCCCCGCTGCGGTGGAATCATGCACAAAGCGATCGCTTATTTTATGTGAAACAATAACAATCTTTTTATCTTTCAGTTACTCAGGCTTCAGCGTGAATTTTTTAAGGCAAAGTAAAGAAGATTGCGAGAAGAAGGCTGAGCGCCTTATACTATTTAGTTTGTTAAGTAAACACTATTTCTGACTCTCTCCTCACGTCGCTGATTGCATCTAATGACACTGCAGTGTTCTTTTTTTACTTGTTACTGGAAAAGTCTGTGTTAAAATTTTATTGCAAGGTACTGTACTTCTAATAAAGGGTTTGTTACGCTCAATGCTGACTATTCCACTTTTATAAAAAGCTCTTGGTGGACAAAGACAGTCAGTATACATGACAGGGTCATGACAGCTCAACCAATGTTTGCATCAAAATTATCATACGTAATACAAATATTAAAATTTCGATAGTGTGTCGCCGTTTTTTCATGTTAAGAAAATAAAGGAAACATCTTTCCCATCATTGTGAAACTCGCCCTTTCCAACTGAAAACGAAAGGAGCACTTAAAGAGGAGTGGGCTCAAAATGTTACGCTTGTTTATTCCGTTGTTTCTTGTTCTGATCTTGCGTTCCTTCGCAAGCCAGAAAAACTCTGTAAGCAATGTTTGGCACTTTTTTTAGTTCGGTCCTTGAAAATAATTAATTTTGTCTAATATAAAAAGCAAGATCAAATGAATATACACTATGACTGTGCTACTTTAACCAATAAAATACAATACTAATGCCTTGCGGATTTCCTCTTGATTAGGTATCAAATCAAAACCATTGCTGCAACTGTCGCGACGGTAAGCTAAAGACTCTTAATGAATCCTGATTCCTATTTATAGATGTTGTTCTAACATAATTTCCCATTTTTCCCCTAGGAAGGGACGGACGAGATGGTCAGAACGGTAAGATAAGGCATGGCACATATCCATATAACCATGTTTTCACTAACTGACACAATGCACAGCAGTTCTGAATTCTATTAAGAAGTAAAATACTTTCTGACCCGGTCAGCCTTCCAATTTAGTACCTATACGTATATATATATCTGTTCACAACGTCTGCTCACAAAAGGAACAGTAGATTGCTAGCAGGAAATACTGCCATAGGAACTTAAATTAGCCATATAGTTACGTTCCATATTACAACTGGGCGAATTCATCTAAAAACAATATGAGAAGTTCTGACTGCTGAAAATGGAAAGTGAACCTTGTTAAAAGTAAGATAACGTAGTCAGAGTTGGGACTCTTTAATTTAGATGGTGTAGAAAAATAAATGAAGTGTTAATTAAGAGATCAAGATCACTGACGTGGCATTCAAAATTGTTGTCTTCCGCTTTCTTTTCCGTGAGTTCTTCTCGTTCTCTTTTGTACTCATTACCTTTAAATAATTTTATTTTTTCACACCCAAGGAAAGGATGGTCGTGATGGAAGAGACGGGATCAACGGGAACGGAATGAAGGTAAAAATATTAAAAAGGAATAAAGCTTTTTCCTCTTTGCCGCAGGGATCAGGTGTAAAGCGAACGCTTACTTTGTGAAAAACAATAGAGTCAATAGAAACGTTTTTAAACTCTTGCGCCAAACTAGTCGTGAGTGCATGTGCTAGAGCGTTACACTTTGAAATACTCTGCAATTTCGTCACCAGAACCTTCGGATCATGAGTAGTGGTCGAGAATGGCTACTTTGGCAAACTGACAGGAAAACATGGCGATACTTTGAAAGATCGTGACACAGAAGGTGCTCGCTTTAGAGACGTGGTAATTAACTGAGGATCGTTCAAGAGCAAACTTAGGTGGGGTGGTGGGGGAGGGGGTAAAGCTGATGGAAGTAAGACAGGAATATCTTTTTTCAATTCTCAAATGTACCCATCAGTGTATTTTTAGGGCAAGGTATAGGGGTAGGGTTAATTGCGGGAGAGAGTTAAAGCGTTCAGTGCTTTGTCTTGCGCCTCATACCATTTAGTTTGTTTAGTTAACACGTATTTCCGGCTATCTCCTCATGCCACTGATTATATAAAGGGAAACTCAATGTTATTGCTTTTATTTGCTTCAAAAATTCTTCGTAACGATTTAATAACATATACTGAACTGTACTTCAAGGACTTGCTGTTATTGCCTGTTGTGGATAGTTTTTCTGTATTTAAGCTCTCGGCCGACAAGGACACAATCTCCACCCCAGGAGCTCTTCTCCGTATAAAGGCCGGAGTCAAAACCGTAAGCACTGGGTCGAGATTGGACAAGGACAGTAAATGACAAGGGTCATGAGATTATGGGTTATCATACATAATACATACATTAAAATTTTGATGGTCTCGCCGTTTTTTCATGTTAACAAAATCGCCATTTCCTACTGAAAACGAAAGAAGCACTTAAAGAAGAGTGAGCTCAAAATGTTGCGCTTGTTTATTCCCTTGTTTCTTGTTCTGGTCTTGCGTTCCTTAGCAAGCCAGAAAAACTTTGCAAAGAATGTAAGTTTGGCTTTTTTTAGTTCGGTCCTTCTAAAAATTAATTTTGTGTAATAAAAAAGTAAGATCGAAAGAATAAACACCATGACTGTGCTATTTTAACCATTGAAAATTCATTATTAATACCTCGCGAATTTTCTCTTGTTTAGGTAGCAAATCAAAACCATTGCTGCAACTGTCGCGACGGTAAGCTAAAGACTTTGAATGAATTCTGATTCCTTTCTGTTCATGTTGTTTTAATATATTTTCTCATTTTTATTCTAGGAAGGGACGGACGAGATGGTCAGAACGGTAAGATAAGACATCGCACATATTAATAATAACCGGGCATGTTTTCACTAACCCGATGTTGACGATTCAAGACCCAGCAGTTCCCTTTTTTCATTAATTAAGCAGTAAAATACTTTCTGACCCGGTCAACCTTCCAATTTAGTACCTATACGTATATACCTGTTCGCACCTTCTGCCCATAAATGGAATAGTAGATTGTTAGCAGAAAATACTGCCATAGGAACTTAAACTAGTAGTACAGCTCCATATTACAACCGGTCGAATTAATCTGAGAAAATATAAGAAGTTCTGACTGTTGAAAATGGAAAACTGAACGTTATTAAAAATAAGAGTAACGTAGTCAGAGTTGGGACTTTTTAATTTAAATGGTGTAGAAAAATAAATGAACTATTAAGTAAGAGATCAATGTCACTGACGTGGCACTCAAATTGTTCTCTTCCGCCGTTTTTTTGCGTGCGTTTTCTCTTTCTCTTTCTCTTTTCTACTCATCAGTCATTAAATAATTTTATTTTTTCACACCCAAGGAAAGGATGGTCGTGATGGAAGAGACGGGATCAACGCGGGAAACGGAATGAAGGTAAAAATATTAAAAAGGAATAACGTTTTTTCTGCCATTACCAAATCTATGATAAATTATTTCTGGGAACAAAGATGAATAAGCCAGAGGAGAACTTTTAACAACACCGGACAAAAGGCTAAGATTACTCAAGCTCCCTGCAATCCGAGATTTCAGCTGCCTCCAAAAAACACGCTTGTTTAACTCCAGAGTCTATTTTCTGAAGGAAAAGGGGACCGACACAGTACCACCTTAGTCTGTTCTCATAAATTAGTTACAAAGATAAAAAATTCCGTTAAAAATCTGACGAAATCTCAGCGGTAAAGACCAGTCTTAAGTAAAAGGATTACGGAAAAGGAGATCTGAGTTTTTTAGTTTCCTCAATCCTAGATGGGTTTGAAGAACAGTTAAGGACTTGTTTGTTTTTCAGGGTCAAAAAGGAGAACGTGGTTCACCAGGAAACAACGCAGGAGGTGTAATTAAGTTTAGCGATACCGCTGAGAAATGTACCGCAAGCATCGCCGGCACTGTAAGCTACAATAGTTCCCAGAAATCGTTGCAACTCTGTGATGGAAGTGTTTGGCTTCCACTGCTGACTGTTGGCAAAGGTTACACAGCGGATAGACCAGGCCGCCATTGTTTGGATATTTTAAATTCTGGTAAGCTTAAGCTGTGATAAATAAATAGAGCCCATAAGGGAATGAGGAGAATAATGATGGTTGTAGAGAATGCTAGGAAGAACATGGCCTGCAGTGCAGGCGTATATATTGGGGGCGAGTGAAAGCTGCTTTTTAAAGTTTGCAATGCATGCTTCAGCCACCATCTTTGAACTTATTACAGAGGATGATTGCGGAGAGTAGAATTAAAGACCTTTAGGGTAGGCGTGAGGGTGAAAGGAAAAAGGTGGGAAGGGCGGGGGAGGAGAAAAGCATGGACTTGGGTACTGAGAAAAAGACTGTCATCCAAAGACGTAATAATATTCATTTTTCAATATATTTATGATCAGGCCAAAGTCATGGCAGTGGGCTTTACCGGATTGATCCAAACGGTGGCTCGACAAAAGACTCGTTCCAGGCCTTCTGCGACATGGAAACTGAGCGTGGAGGTTGGACCCTAGTTGCCACAAAGGTCTCCCCAGGCTTCCTCTTCATCAAAACTGTTTTCTCATCAGTGGCCGCTGCAACTAAGAACACAGATGCCGCGAGTCACATACACCCAAGCATAGGGAACTGGAAAGAGGTTATGTTCCGCTTTGCTGACGTTGATACCATCCGAGTCATTTACAACAGAAAAGTGGGCGCACCAAACAAAGACAAGGAGGAATTCGACAAGTTCTTGATGGGAAAGTCTATGAATGTGGGAAAAAACGTGAATGGATTTTATAAGTACAGTCCAGCAGATAAGAAAAGAAATCCCAGCGTGGGTTTTGCCACCATATCTACTTTGTACTTCGGTTCAAGGAATGGGATCTCAGAAGGTCATAGTGGCACGGATAAGTGGCTTGACATGTGGCATGGTGGAGACAGCTCAAACAACTACATCTACAGTGATAACAGCAGGGCGCGGGGCACCAAATGTATCGCGGGTTACTGTTATCTGAACAAGCCAATCTGGGTGATGGTGCGTTAGCAAATCCATCAAGCCAATACACGAGCAGCTGATTACGGGAGAGAGAATTAGATACTTCGGAGTTAAATGTCGAGAATAAAGTAGGTTTTAAAAGAGCCGGACCGCTAGAGTATCAAAAGCTCCGACAATGTTGTCAAGATTAAAACGACTTGATGATTAGTCCAGTTGAAAGAATACTCGCATCCTGTACCGAATCCTCATAAAATAAAATAAAAGGTGTTGGCGATTTGGTTGTGTGTTGTTTATTTGTCGGTTGTTTGTTTGTTTGTTTGTTTTTTTCCAGAACAATCCTTTTGTTGCTTGGGTAAGGCTGAAATAATTAAGGACTACATTCTAGCCATCGTAGAAAGCTTTTCCGTCTGGTTTCGGAGCAAAGAAAGACCGACGAAAGGAATTTTCGGTTTTGGCCGCGCGAGAAATGGAACGAGAGACATAATGAGAGAGGGTTCTTCCTTACTTTTCTTCCCCACCCCCTCCCCGCTCTTTAACTAGCGCCATTTTTCGCGCGGTCTTTTCGTTCCTTATTCTTTGCTCCCAAACCGCACGTAGACGCTTGCTACGCAAGCTGAGTAGATTCAGTTTTACTTTACCCATCCGCGAAGTTATTCAGTCGATCAGAAATATTCTCAAAAATGCAGAACTGAGGTTATTAAAGGTTCTTACAATTTACGATGCTGACTGCGTCAATTAATGAAAAATTTGTTGTTTTCAGCCTCAAAAGAGAGTAGCCTCGGTTGTTCATATTTCTTTTCCGGGTTTTCAAAATAACTCAATAGACACCGGAAAAGTATTTTTTTCTAATATTCAAGACGAAAAGGCAATTTTAAAACCACTAGGCATAACATCATCGCATTGTAGCACCCTGTGTTACATAGTCTTAAGTTATAACATGTTGAATCAGAAAGCCGGTCGGCAAAGCTTATCCTATATCTAAATCTCATTTTAGTTCAAGATCATTGCATGAAGCGAATTGTTTAAAGTGCGGGTTTATTACCGATAAAGGGAGATGCGCTTGATCGTGGTCTTTTTATATTCCTCCAACCACACAAGATACGAATCGTGAAAAAGAACTTGGTATAAGCAGGACAACCGAAAATGCTGATAAGAGGACTTTTTGAAGCTGGGTCAGGTTAACATGCTTGAAATGACCGTTTTTTTGACAATAATGAGTTTTCCGATAAGAATGAAAACTCGGAGAAAACGACCTGTTCTTAAGGGACACAGAAAAAGAAATGCTTTTTAGCCTTGTTGTCATGGAGGCGATTCATAAAGTTTGAACTCCTGTTAACAAGCCCATATAACATGACCATTTAAATCAGGCATCTTGGCTCCTCATCAATAACAGCTTTGCAATTTGCTAATTAAACTTCAGTATTTTAAATAATACATTTCAGTGGTAGTATAAGGATTTACTTTCAGAGTTACCAAGTCAGTAATCAGATAGGGGTCAGTGGATGGCTAGGATGATGAAGTCTTAGTCCCCCCGGATAAATCACGATGATTCCGAACATCTTTGCACTGTGAAGGCTGACTGTTTTCTTGAGCTTATTGTCAAGCAGACAAGATATTAGACGCTAGGTAGCTGCTGCTGAGTAGAGCGTAGTAACCAGTTGGCTCAGTGGAATTGTCCCACTGGAATGTTTTCCACGACAGTCCATGGACATTTATTTAATCGTTATTGTAAAATTTAGGTCTTTACATATTTTTTGATCACGTGATTAGTCACGTGACAGACATTACACGTACGGAAGAAAATGACCCAGAGATATTATATATTCAGAAAAAATTTCTTCCTTCGAGGCACTTAATCTTCTATTCTCTTAAGTAACCCAGCAAAAGATATTGCAGACAATCTCATTTCTTTCTAGATAAATTTTTGAGCTAGCCGACATTTTTTGTCATATTGTTCCTTCCAAAATATGCCACGACTATGGCGAACAGCTTTCCTCTTCTGCCTCCCTCTTGGGCTGCTATGGGATCAGGAGTGACGTGATCATGACTTACTTTGTGTGAAACAGAAGTGTTTTACACCTGTGCGCCAAAAGAATAGTTCCAGGGTGAGCTACAGTATTTTCTTATTTGACTGCCAAGAAAAGATCACCGATAATGATCACAATATAATGTCGTATAGGGAAGGTGGTCGCTTATGGTGATTAGCAGATAGAAAGAAAGGTTCCAAAGCAAAATAAAGATAAGTTGGGAAAGATTGATCCAAAATAAAATGCAAATCTTTTTCTTACTCTCTCGTTTTCACATCAGCATATTTTTCGGTAAGGGTAGGGTGGCATATTCTTACGGTATTCCCAACTACTCTCCTTTTGATGCTGATCAAGGGAAGCTCAGCGTTCTTCTTTAACTGCGCCTTATAAAAGCCTCCGTAAAAATTGAATGGTGTATAACAGTACTTTAAGGGTTTGCTACACTCTTTCTTCCTCATTTTATATCGCTGATTTGTATTCCGGTATGATCAAAGGTTTTCGGCCGGCAGGGGCAGTCAAGTATGACAGTGAATTAAATCTGCATTGAAAACAGCATAAGTAATGTGAAAATTAAAATTTCGATGGTCTCGCCGCTTTTTCTTGTTTAGAAAAAAAAAAAACATCTTCCCATCCATTTTGAACTTGCCATTTTCTACTGAAAACCAAAGGAGAGTGAACTAAAAATGTTTCGCTTGGTTATTCCGTTGTTTCTTGTTCTCATCTTGCGTTCCTTCGCAACCCAGAAAACATCTCCAAGCAATGCAAGTTTCGCTTTTTTTATTTCTGTTCCTTCATGCATGAATTAATGTGGTCTAATTTAAAAAGGAAGAAAGAAGATACACCATGACTATACCACTTAAATCAGTAAAATTCACTCACTAATACCTCGCGGTTTTCTTCTTCAGTTAACAAAGCAAAACCACTGTTGTAACTCGTGTCGCGACGGTAAGCTGAAGACATTAAGAGAATCCTGATTTTTTTCTGTACATGTTCTGATTCTCTTTTTTTTAATTTTTTCCTAGGAAGGGACGGAAGAGATGGTCAAAACGGTGAGATAACACGTCGCACATATCAATATAACATGTTCTCACTAACTGACACAATGTTGACGATTCAAGACCCAGACTTACACCCTCTGGCCATAAATGGAATATAGTAGATTGCTAGCGGGAAATACTGCCATAGGAACTTAAAGTAGCCATTTAAGTTCCATATTACAACCGAGCGAATAAATCTGAGAAAATATGAGAAGTTATAACTGTCGATAGTCGAAAAGCGAACCTTTTTAAAAATAAGATAACGTAGTCAGAGCTGGGAATTTTTAATTCAGATGGTGTAGAAAAATAGATGAAGTATTAAGCAAGAGATCAATATCACTGACGTGGCACTCAAAATTGTTGTCTTCCGCCGTTCTTTTGCGTGCATTTTCTCTTTCTCTTTCTCTTTTCTACTCATCAGTCATTAAATTATTTTATTTTTTCACACCCAAGGAAAGGATGGTCGTGATGGAAGAGACGGGATCAACGCGGGAAACGGAATGAAGGTAAAAATATTAAAAAGGAATAAAGTTTCTTTCTGCCATTATCAAATCGATGATAAATTATGTTTGGATCAAGGATGAATAAGCCAGACGAGAACTTTTAAGAAGACTGGGCAAAAGGCTAAGATTACTCAAGTTCCCTGCAATCTGAGATTTCCGCTGCCTAATAAACATTCCTAAAAAAAAACACGCTTGTTTAACTCCAGAGTCTATTTTCTGTAGTAAAAGGGAGGGACACAGTACCACCTTTGTCTGTTCTAATAATTAGTTACATAAGATACAAAATTTCGGTTAAAATCTGACGAAATCTCGGTGGAAAGGCCAGTCTTCAATTAAAGGATTACAGAGAAAGAGATCTGAGTCTTCAAGTTTCCTCAACCGTAGACTTTTTTTTTGTTTTTGTTTTTGAGGGTCAAAAAGGAGAACGTGGCTCACCAGGAAACAACGCAGGAGGTGTAATTAAGTTTAGCGATACCGCTGAGAAATGTACCGCAAGCATCGCCGGCACTGTTAGTTACAATACTTCCCAGAAATCCTTGCAACTCTGTGATGGAAGTGTTTGGCTTCCGGTGCTGACTGTTGAAAAAGGTTACACAGCGGATAGACCCGGCCGCCATTGTTTGGATATTTTAAATTCTGGTAAGATTAAACTGTGATAAATAAAAAAAACCCATTGATACTGAGGAGAGTAATGATGGTTGTAGAAAATGCTGGGAAGCAGCTGGTCTGCAATACAGGCGTACATATTGAGGGCGAGTGAAAGCTGCTTTTTAAAGTTTGTAATGCTGGGGACGCCATCTTTCATCTTATTACAGAGGATGAGTGCGGAGAGTAGAAATAAAAACCCTTGGGGTAGGCATAAGGGCGAAAGAAAAAGAAAAGCATGGACTTGGGTACTGGGGAAAAAACTGTCATTCAAAGACGTGTTTCTTAAATAAGCCTACCAAAGTTCATCTTATTAATCATAAAATATAAACAAACATCTTAAATAATATTCATTGTTCAATTTATTTATGATCAGGCCAAAGTCATGGCAGTAGGCTTTACTGGATTGATCCAAACGGTGGTTCGACAAAAGACTCGTTCCAAGCCTTTTGCGACATGGAAACTGAGCATGGAGGTTGGACCCTAGTTGCCACCAAGGTCTCCCCAGGCTTCCTCTGCATCAAAACTGTTTTCTCATCAGTGACCGCTGCAACTAAGAACGCAGATGCCGCAAGTCACGTACACCCAAGCATGGGGGACTGGAAAGAGGCTATGTTCCGTTTTGCTGACGTTGATACCATCCGACTTATTTACAACAGAAAAGCGGGCGCACCAAACAAAGACAAGGAGGAATTCGACAAATTCTTGATGGGAAAGTCTATGGATTTGAGAAGGCCTGTGAATGGATTTTACAAGTACACTCCAGCAGATAACAAAAGAAATCCCAGCGTGGGTTTTGCCACCATATCCTCTTTCCACTTCTATTCAAGCGGTGGGATCTCAGAAGATCTCCGTGGCACGGATAAGTGGCTTGACATGTGGCATGCTGGTGATCGCTCAAACAACTACATCTACAGCGATAACAGCAGGGCGCGGGGCACCAAATGTATCGCGGGCTACTGTTATCTGAACAAGCCAATCTGGGTGATGGTGCGTTAGCAAATCCATCAAGCCTATAGCCGAGCAGCTAATTACGCGAGAAAGAACTAGATACTTAGGTGTTAACAGGCGATAATAAAGTAGGTTTTAAAACAGACTGCTGCAGTATTAAACGTTCCAACAATGTTGTCAAGATTATAACGACCTGATATTAGTCCCGTTAAAAGGAGTTCTCGCATCTTGTACTGACTGCTCATAAAATAAAAGTAAAAGAAGCATTGGCGATTTGGGTGTGTTGTTTATTGGTCGTTTGTTTGTTTTTTTCTCAAAACAACCCTTTTGTTGCTTAGGAGGGGGAAAATTAAGCAAGGGTTAGATTCAGTTCCACTCTACTACTGGTGCACCTGTTATGCGCAAGTTTTTCGGAATTATCCACTCAGAAATAATTAAAGAACTAAGAATAACGATTGACTGCGTCAATTAATGACAACTATGTAGCCTTTTTACATATTTCTTTTTTCGGTTTTCGAAATAACTGAACGGACAGGAGAAGTATTTTTTCTAAAAGAAAAAGGACTTTTGATATTATCAAGTATAACATCGAATATTATCACCATGTGGTACATACTCTTGAGTTGTAAGGATTGGATCAGAAAGTTGGAAAAGCTTATACCGGCTCTTTTTCTTCTAGTGTTTTAAATACAATCGGCAGATGTCGATATTTTCTGCGCGAAGGAACACTTAGAGAAATATAACCTTTAACCTAACAGCAGACAAATCGTTAAACAAAAATATATGAATAATCACCGAAGAGGCCCGAAATGTCCAATATGAGAGATTACGTTTGTCAATGTCTTTACTGCGAGAAATCGAGGTAATATCAAGTGGCATGATCTGTCGTTATCGCGGGAATATCGTAGCACCAAACACATCTTGAGACGAACTGATTATAAAACAAAACCTTTATCTGATCTTCTAGTTAGGTTGGCTCCATGTGAACAGAACTTTTGGAGTTTTGTTGGTGGTCTGATCCCCCTGATCATTTTCTTTTGCTTTCCAACACTTTTTTTATGGAGATGTCCCAGATTTTTCCCCATTATTAAGTTACCAGTAAGAGTGAAAACTCGGATAGAATAGCATTTGTTTGTTACTCTAAATAAACCCTCAAGTTGCTAATTGGGTAGAATCATATAAATTAAATGACCTATTAGAGTCAGTGGATTACTAAGATGATTTTTTAAATCATGATAATTGATGACATCTTTGCACTGCGATGGCTGACGGTTCACATGACTTTGGTGCCAATCAGACCAGATCTGACATGTATCAGATGCCAGCTACCGCTGAGCAGGGTGAATAGATGTGGCGCAGAAATGTTTTTCACGATGATCATATTATTATTATTATTATTACCGCGACGTAAACTTGCAAAATAATGATAAGACTCTCTCACAGAGTCCTCATTCAAGCTTAGGCCAGAATTTATCTTTTTTCTTTGACATCTCATTGACCATTTCCATCAGGCCCCAGAGCCCGTGCATCTTGCCACTCGCAAATGATGAGGCCTTGTATCAAGTTCTTCCACTATTCATCCCAAACGTTGAAAGTTTTTTAAGTACGATTATCCTCTATCAAAAACGATAATTCATTTATCTATACAAAGTAAATTCATACAATTTCCTTAATTTTAGATTTTTGTCACGTGATTAGTCACGTGACAGATTTAGCACACATGGCAGAATAAGAACCTAAGATATATAATCACAAAAAAAATCCACATATTTTAGGCTACCCAGCTAACAAACATAGGCTGCAATTTAGGTGGCAGCAAAAGTCATTGCCGATCAATCATGTTTCTCGGAACACACTTTGGAGCTTAATTTTTTTCCTTCTTCTTTTCTATTTTTTCCAGTTTTAGTTTTTTGTTGTTCCAAAATGTCAAAGCTAAGGTGTTTAGCTTTTGCCTCCGTCATCCTCCCCGCTGCGGTGGAATCATGCACAAAGCGATCGCTTATTTTATGTGAAACAATAACAATCTTTTTCTCTTTCAGTTACTCTGGCTTCAGCGTAAATTTTTTAAGGCAAAGTAAAGTAGGTTAGGAGAAGAAGGTTGAGCGCCTTATACTATTAAGTTTGTTAAGTAAATACTATCTCTGACTCTCTCCTCACGTCGCTGATT